GGATTCACACACAGCACACAAGGCCATACAAGCAATACCTCTCGTGAGTTATCTTTCGAGGAGCAATATGCAGCAAAACATGATTATGAATTATTGAAAAAACTTGCAGATCTTTCACATGAACAATCGAAAAAGGTGGCATCGATCTTTGATAAGATTGACGAAAGTAATCGAATGAATGCAGATTTTCTCAATTTGCAGCAAAATATCAATCAAATGAAAGGGATTATTGATGACAGTTTGGCTAGTACTCGAGTTGCTAATGTTGATGTGAGCACACAACAGTCAATTCCTGAACAAACACCATGGAGAACAAGTCAACCAACAGCTCAACAACCTAAAACGATTGAAAATATTGAGATTGTGAGTGGAGCTACAATGGGAACTGCCAATGATCAGAATGCTCCCCATCAAACCAAATTTATGGACAAGTCGTTTTATCCTGACTTGACAAATGAGCTTTAAAAAGTGTTCTCTTAGTAAATTATTGTAAATAATAAACTTGTTCGTAAATAGAACAATTTCATTATGAATGTAAGGGGATGTAGCTCACATGGTAGAGCGCTTCTTTAGCATGGAAGAGGTACGGGGATCGATACCCCGCATCTCCACTCAATCTTTTCATAATTTGATTTTCCTTTTTTGTTCAATAATTAATTTTATGCTTTATTTAAATTGATCGATATTTCTAAAGCTATTCTTTTGAGGATTTTCCACCTTTTTCATCAACTTTAAATATTCAACTCTGAAAGAATCCAACATGTCAGATTTGGATTGGTTTGGGAAATTCAATGAATTCTTGAACGTTTCATGGCAATTTATCAATTTCTTTCCAATTTGAATTTGAGCTTCATCGAAAATATTTGTCAAATCACCTTCAGAGTCACCAGTCGATATCTTAACTTGATATCTTTCAATTTCCTTCTTAATTTCTTCATGTTTCGAATACTTGACATGATTTCTAGCAAGTTCAGTATCCAAGAATTGATTATATATTTCCATTGCTTGCCTATCTTCACTATCATTCAACTTGAAGGAATTCATTGAAAATAAATCACTGGAAAATGTTAAAATCTCACTTTGTTCATCATCTTCCTGAGAAGGTGAATTAGTAGTGGAGCAATTGAGTAAACTACTGTTGTTATTTCTCTCATTGGAAAAGTTTTTCATATCTTCCAGAATTGATTTGATGGTAGAATGTAATGATTTCTTATGTTCCTTAAATATCTGAACTTGTTCAAGAAAGTGAAATCTATTCGAAAGTGAATCTCCCTTACAATA